AAGAGACTCTATCTCAAAAAAAAAAAAAAAAAAAAAAGTAAGAAACAACACTTTTTCATTAAGATCAAGAACAAGGCAAGCATGTCTCCTCTCACCCCTCCTTTCCAACACTGTACTGGAAGTCCTAGCTAATGAACTAGGACAAAAAAAAAAAAAAAAAAAAAGGAAATAAAAGATACACACACTGGGAGGGAAGAATTCACACTTTGTTCACAGATAACATGATCATCTATGTAGACATTCCAAAACAATTAAAAAAAAAAAAAACCAAGGTTAATATACAGTAGCAAATTGCTTCCCAATATACCAACAATGAACAGGTGGAATTTGGAATTAAAAACAAAATAACATATACACTAGCAGCCCCAATAATGAAATATCTAGGTATAAATCTACCAAAATACATACAAGATCTATAAGAAAAAAAAATTACAAAAGTCTAATGAAAGAAAAAAAAAGAATTACACAAATGGAGAGATATTCTATGTTTGTGGATACAAAGACAATATTGTCAAGATGTCACTTCTTCCCAATTTCATCTACAGATTTCATGCAATTCCAAACTCCCTAGCATATTTGTGGATATCAGCAAACTGATTGTGAATTTTATATGGAGAACCAAAAGACTCAAAATGCCCATCACAATATTGAAGGGGAAATAATAAAGTCACTGTGCCAGGCACAGTAGCTCACGCCTGTAATCCCAGCACTTTGGGAGCCCAAGATGGGCAGATCACTTGAGGTCAGCAGTTCAAGGCCAGCCTGGTCAACATGGCAAAAGCCCGTCTCTACCAAAAATACAAAACTTAGCTGGGTGTGGTGGTGTATGCCTGTAATCCCAGCTACTTGCGAGGCTGAGGCAGGAGAATCGCCTGAACCTGGAAGGCAGAAGTTGCGGTGAGCCAGGATCCATGCCACTGCACTACAGCCTCCGTAACAGAGCGAGACTCAGTCTCAAAAAAAAGGCCAGACGCGGTGGCTCAAGCCGGTAATCCCAGCACTTTGGGAGGCTGAGATGGGTGGATCACGAGGTCAGGAGATTGAGACCATCCTGGCTAACACGGTGAAACCCCGTCTCTACTAAAAACTAGCTGGGCGAGGTGGCGGGCGCCTGTAGTCCCAGCTACTCGGGAGGCTGAGGCAGGAGAATGGCGCAAACCCGGGAGGCGGAGCTTGCAGTGAGCTGAGATCGCGCCACTGCACTCCAGCCTGGGCGACACAGCGAGACTCCGTCTCAAAAAAAAAAAAAAAAAAAAAAAAAAAAGTCACTGCTTGACATCAAGACTTAATAAAAAGCTATGGTAATCCAGACAGTGTGAAACTGGTGAAGGAACGGATACATGGATCAATGGAACAGAATAAAGACTCCAGATAGAAACATAAATATAGTCAACTAATCTTTGAGAAAGAAGCAAAGGCAATACAACGGAGCAACAAATAGTGTTGGAATAGCTGAATATCCAAATGCAAAAAATGAATCTAACACAAACTTTACACTCTTCACAAATATTAATTCAAAATGGATGCCAGACTTAAATGTAAAATGTAAAACTGTAAATAGAACTCCAATATTTGAGAAAATCTAGACATCACTGGGTATGGCAATTACTTTCTAGATACAATACCAGAAGCATAATCCATAAAAGAAATCATTGACTAGCTAAATGTTATTAAAATTTAAAAAAAAAATTACTCCACAAAAGACACCATTAAAGTATGAAACAAGTGGGGCACAGTGGCTCACGCCTGTAATCCCAGCACTTTGGGAGGCCGAGGTGGGCGGATCACCAGGTCAGGAGATGGAGACCACGGTGTCTCTACTAAAAATACAAAAAATTAGCCAGGCACGGTGGTGGGCGCCTGTAGTCCCAGTGACCTGGGAGGCTGAAGTAGGAGAATGGCGTGAACCCGTGAGGTGGAGCTTGCAGTGAGCTGAGATCGCACCACTGCACTCCAGCCTGGATGACAGAGTGAAACTCCGTCTCAAAAAAAAAAAAGGAAAAAAAAAGAAAGAAACGATAAGCCAAAGAAAATATCTGCAAAAGACATATCTCATAAAAGACTGTTACCTAAAACATAGACAGCGCTTAAAACTCCATAAGTAAACAGCCCAATTTTTTTTGGTTTTTTTTTTTTGTTTTTTTTTTTTGAGACAAAGTCTCGCTCTGTGGCCCAGGCTGGAGGGCAGTGGCGCGATCTTGGCTCACTGCAAGCTCCGCCTCCCGGGTTCACACCATTCTCCTGCCTCAGCCTCCCGAACAGCTGAGATTACAGGCGCCCGCCACCACGCCCCGGCTAGTTTTTTGTATTTTTTAGTAGAGACAGCGTTTCACCATGTTAGCCAGGATGGTCTTGATCTCCTGACCTCGTGATCCGCCCGTCTCGGCCTCCCAAAGTGCTAGGATTACAGGTTTGAGCCCCCGCGCCCAGCCAACAACACAATTTTTAGAACGGACAAAAGATCTCAACAGAAATCTCACCAAAGAACATATACAGATGGTAAATAAGCACATGAAAACATGTTCAACTTCGTATGTCATTAGGGAGTTGCAAATTAAACAGTCCCACTGCACACCTATTAGAATGGTGAAAATCCAAAACACTGGTAACACCAAATGCTGTTGAGGGTGTGGATCAACAGGAACTCTCATTCAGGGCTGGTGGGAATCCATCAACCCTACAGCAGTTTTGGAAGACAGTTTTGTGTTTCTCACAAAATAATATACTCTTACCATATGAACCGGCAGTCATATTCCTTGGGTTTTTTTCGTGTTTTGTTTTTGTTTTTTTGTTTTTTTTGGAGATGGAGTCTCGCTCTATCACCCAGGCTGGAGTGCAGTGGCCTGATCTTGGCTCACTGCAACCTCCATCTCCCAGGTTCAAGCGATTCTCCTGCCTCAGCCACCCGTGTAGCTGCGATTATAGGCGTCCGCCACAACGCCTGCCTAATTGTTTGTATTTTTAGTAGAGACAGGGTTTCACCACATTGGCCAGGCTGGTCTCAAACTCCTGACCTCAGGTGATTCACCCACCTCAGCCTCCCAAAGTGCTGGGATTACAGGCATGAGCCACCACGCCCAGCCATGCATGATTTCTAACATCCTACATGGCTCATTTACAAAATACTGTTTCACTAAGCAATGCAGATGTTTCAAATGTTGACATATTTCATTAAGCAATATTTTAAAACCACTTTCATTAAAATCTCATGTTAACAGAAAAGTCCTTAAGTATTGGGAAGCTATCAAGTTCACAGAGGTAGATACAAGCATACAAAAATTCTAAATTCTGTTTGAAAGCTAATTTAAAATAGGCAACAAGTACTATCAGTTGTTTTCCTTGAAAGGATAAGCCTATTTTATTTAGAAAAAAACATATCTGCTCAATACCCAAGTATAAAAAACTGTAGCTTGTCTATTAATTATTCTTCTAAGTATAATGTTGAAAATTTTAAAAAGTGAGCTGTACAGCTTGCTGACAATGTTACAGGTGATTTTCCTCAAGATAATTTAAAATTCAGTTTGCAGCACTGCTTCACACATACTTCCCTTTTCATCACACTATATTAAGAAGACACATACTCGGCTGGGCGCGGTGGCTCACGCCTGTAATCCCAGCGCTTTGGGAGGCTGAGGTGGGGCGGATCACGAGGTCAGGAGATCAAGACCATCCTGGCTAACATGGTGAAACCCCGTCTCCACTAAAAAAAATACAAAAAAAAACAAAAAACAAAAAACAAAAAAATTAGCCGGGCGTGGCGGCGGGCACCTGTAGTCCCAGCTACTCGGGAGGCTAAGGCAGGAGAATGGTGTGAACCTGGGAGGCAGAACTTGCAGTGAGCCCAGATAGCGCCACTGCACTTCAGCCTGGGCAACAGAGCAAGACTCCATCTCAAAAAAATAAAAATAAAAAATAAAAAATAAAAAAAAAGAAGACACGTACTCAAGGGTCCGTATTTTAAAAAACTAGTAACTTTTACTGCTCATCAAAGATATTTTTTGAGACAGTCTTACTCTGTCACCTAGGCTGGAGTGCAGCAGCATGACCACAGGTCACTCTTAGCCTTGAACTCCTGGGTTCAAGGAATCCTCCTGCCTCAGCCTCTCACCTCAGCCTACGAAGTAGCGAGGACTACAGGCATAAGCCATGGTGCCCCACCCTCATCAAAGACATTCTTAAGAGAAACTGACTTTATTTTTTAGAAACTACAAGTGTGGGGTGAAGAATACTGATACAATTTGGTGCCACTACCTTGATTTGTATTCAGGCAAAATGTTTATTTTTCACTGCTTCAACACCATCAGTACAGATGTCGACACAGTAAAAACAACTTAGAATTATTAAGAAAAACAGCTTTCACTTTGCAGATCCCTTGGGTCTACAAAAGGTCCACATTTGAAAGGTTCACATATTGAAAACTGTTGGCCGGGGGCGGTGGCTCACACTTGTCCCAGCACTTTGGGAGGCCAAGGCAGGTGGATCATGAGGTCAGGAGTTCAAGACCAGCCTTGCCAACATAGTCAAACCTCGTCTCTACTAAAAATACAAAAAGTAA